GTTATATTACTTCCTTTTCAATATTTTTAAATAAGTGCAAAAAAAGGTTATGTTTTCTTTATATTTTATAACTTAAAACTAAAAGAAAAATAAATAAATATTTATTTGAGTATATTTATTTATATATCTTTATAATTAAACCAAAAGGTCAAAGAGCCTTTTAAAAACAAGCTGTTTAACTGTAGGACAAGTTAGTACAGCCAAGCTAAATACTTAACTGCACATAGCAGTGATCTTAGCAATTAGCTGCTCCTTTATGGCAGACAATCTCTGCCGTTTAAGACCTCACAGGAGGCTGTAAATGAGTCACCTCCCCCAACAGACGGACACACAGTTCATGTTAAGGTATTAATTAAAACAAACCACAGCCAACGGCGAAACTAAATTCACATCGCCCCATTTTGGCACTTTCATTGTGGACTTTTTGCGCGGCTCTGTGGCTAGTGGTTTCTTGGCTTTCTGGGGTCTCTCCGCATCCGCTCAAATGGGGCGGAGCACACATCTAACTGGGCTCTAACGAGTGCCTAAGAGAGTGGCGGTCCGAAGAGAAAAACCAGGTAAGAGCAGGTAAATAAGAGAAATTTATATTAAGAAAAAAAGAGATCTGGCGCGTAATTAGAGCCCCAAAGCCGCCAAATCAATCAGCGGAGCAGGTGCAGCAGTTTGGCAGCCACTGGAGGCAGGTTTCCTTCCATGGAGGCGGCTCGTGTTGTTGCTTCGCTTTGCACTTGTTCCTCGCTATGTTGGGCTGTCATAAATCAAGGCAAAGAGTGTGAAATTTTTTCGCCATTTGGCCCCAACTTGGCTCTAGGCTTCATTAATATTTGCCAGCCATGTCGTCGTCGGTAGGTTGGCCCGACATTTTTAAGCCATTTATGACTTAATTTCAATTATACGCATATGGCCAAAAATATTTGTTAACACTTTGCACGGCAATTAAAATGGCAACACGTGCAGGCTGCCAACGACAGTGTTGACAAGTCGATGGATCGCTTTGGATGCTGGGAAATGGTTCATAGTTAAAGGTCGTCGTCCGCACAAGGTTATTAATAGATTTATTTATATTTTTACTTTTTGCTACAGAAATTCAAGGCTAAAAGACTTTTAAAAGGCTCTTTAATGTTTTTCAAGGCATTGTGAAAATTCAAAAAAATCTATTACTAAAAAAACCATATTATTACGCACCTTATTTTTTATAAGGTTTATAGATCAATACAGATCCTAAGTCTACCCATGCCACTGTCTTCCACAAACTTGCTAAGCCAACAAAACTTCATTAATTATGAATTGTGCACCAAATCGATTCGGCTAATAACCATAATTATGTACCTTTGCTATAACCAGACGCTGGGTGGCAGCGACTTGACACACATTTATTGGCGTTCTTGTGCCCAATCTGTCGGATGTCGCCGCACCTTGCGAAGCATATCTCGCGGATCGCGGATCGGAGAGCAAGGTGCAGGAGCAACGCCCCAATGAAGCAGCCCTCGACCTGGCGTATTCATGGTTTTAGAAAGTCCAACCACTGGGCATTAAAACGGTATTGCCAGGCGAAGCCTTTTCCTTTTCGGCCACCACAGGAAAATCCGAAATCCGAAGCCCATATATAACTCGATGGCAGAGGCAGCCGCATAAATTTCATTGCAGACATTTGGCCTTTTATTAATTGTTTGACGGCGCCCGTGCCCATGAAGCGGGACAAGCCCTCCTCCTCCGCCTCCTCCTGCTGCTCCTCCTGACTACCCCACCTGACGGCCGCCACCTGAAAAGAACCCCAGGTGAACAGCAGCAGCAGTTTCCTCTCTCTCTCTCCGACCGGGCTCTGGGTCTCTGGGCGTGATGAGAAATTTAATATTGGCAAACGGATAAAACCGCCAGATAATTATACATTTTGAGTGGACTTGGACTGCAGCTTGCTTTTGGCTTTAGCTTCAGCTTCAGCCTCGGCTCAGCCTCAGTTCGGGCTTTGCCGTTCATGCGCCTCATGATAGTATAAGATTTCATTTCATTAAAGTGCATCACGACGGACGACCGTCGACGGACGGCAGGCGGAATCAATGAGCGGCGGCGGCTGCTGCATAGCTGCTGCTGCCCCCCACCAGCGCCACAGCAGCTCCTCTTTTCCGGCCCCTGGCCCCCCAATAGCCAGCCCAATACCCACTCCCTGCTAGGCAGCTACCAGCATCCGAGACACTGCCAAAATCAAATGGCTATTTTATTTGTTAACTATTTTAAAATATTAGAAAATTATAAAAATATACCTTTTAAAAATGTAAATTATTTTCTTTTTTTATTTATATTATTACCTTAATTTCCTTCCAATGATTCGATTTTATTCGATTACATTTTTGTTTCAGTGCCGCCTTACCTTGCTTACTTTTCTTCTTATTGGCAGATTACGACGTGGCGCGGGGTGGCCGCCGCCGTGGACCTCGGCAACTTATAATCAAATCCGATAAAAAATTTCATTATTGCTCCACAGCAGCAGCAGTAACAGCAACAACAGGAAAAAAAACCATAACTGTTTTACAGGTAATTTTTAGTTGTTGTTGTTGTTATGATTGTTGGTAGACTGCACTTAATTTTCGCATGGAAACCGAGCTGCACAACACAGCTCATGATCGCGATTTCTTGATCTTCCGTCTTCCCATCCCAGAATATCATCCATCCACCTCCCAGCCCCATCTTGGACCGCAATCCCAACCCCCTTCCAACCAACTTTTCGCTCCCGTTCGTGTGCGGACGCCATTTTGAGATTGGGTTCTCAGCGCTATGGACGCAGTCCGGAGCACTGGAGGTCAGTTGGGTTGGCGCAGGAATAGAAAGAGGCTTTGATTCGAAATGGCAATCGCTGGCCTATCGCTGTCTCTGCCTCTGCTGGCTCCAGCAGCACATAAATTGGGACGTGATTATGAAATAATTGCAATTCTGTACTTTGGACCTTTGCGCAACTATCAAAAGCCAAAAGGCAAAGATACTGAGGAGCACTGAAAATAATTTGTGCTTATCCAAGGGATATTAAGAGTATTCCAACCATTTTTTTTTGCCTGAAATGTACAAGCACAGCAGCAACTGCAGCCTATCATTAATAAATTGTATTTTATAGCATTTTAATAAGTATATAAAATAACATTCCCACAGTTGTTCTATGTGCAAAGGTAAAAGAAAAGCAATCAGTTGGCTCCACTCGCTTCGATTTGCACCTTGGGGAGCTCAGAGCAAGCACTTCAAACCGGAGCAGGTGACAGGCGACAGATGAGCTCTCAGTGGGATGAGGAGGAAGCTGGAACTGCAACGGCAGCCGCGATGTGTCGCCAGACAAATCAAAAGAAATCGCTCTGGGATACGAAGCCGCTGATGATAAATTAACAGCAAAGGAAAACCGCTTTCATTCATTAGTTTTGATCTGTGATCACAGTTTCCAAGGGAGTAACAACTATTTACTTTTTCCAAGAGTTTTTACAATCAAATTAAATCAATTTCTACGCTAACAATAAACTACTTTACAAAGAAAAGTCCAGTATTACCTTTGGAGGTCTTAAAAAGTAAGGGGATTACCCTTTACTTATTATTACACAGTTAATCTCTGTAAGTTTTGTCTATCTGGTTTTCCTATCTGAGTATTAGATTAATATTATATTGGCCTTCAGATAATCCACGCAATATTCAAGCCTTATCTTTACAAATGGATTTAATTCGCCAAATAAAAAGATAACTAACAATAATAGAAAACTTGGTAATTTATTATGATTATTTTAATAACAAAGTAATACCCCCTACCAAAATCTATAAAGTATGTACATATTTTAAATATTTATTTACTTTCTTAGATAATCGCTTACCTCTTGGCATCCACTACTCTCCTCTTGGGCTGTCGTGACAAATCCCTCTTGTCGACAGTACACCTGATGCTGATCCATGTGGAACTCCCCCAACTGATTTGCATCCTCGAATCCCTCGCGGGAGAACGACGCTGAACTACCTGCGACCACTTGCTGTCTGCCAACATATATGCAAATTAAATATAATTTCAACACTCGCATTTTTGTTGACTCTGCTGCTCCTGCCTCCGCCTCGGGTCCATAATTTACATGAGGTTAACACGCAAGCGAACAGCGGACAAACACAGGGAACCGGCCTTGATTATCAGCGGCGAATCGAATGCACGCACATCCAAGGGGGATTCTCGGGCCAGGAGCTCTTAAGGCAGGGGATCTGGGACAGCGGACAGGGGCCGGGTCCCGGTCCCGGCCGCCGAAAAGGAAGTCAAGTTTGAAAAGGCTGAAAGAAATTCTATTACAATGTTGAAATATTGCCAAATCATGGCTTTGAGGTAAATAAATTTCCACGCCACCACCACCACCACTCGCCATGACCGCTGAACCTGGGATGGATGGGAGCTGATGCTGAAGCAGGAGGATGAATAGATGCAGGTACACGGCAAAAATAAATTTTTGATTGGATTTGACATGTTTGAGACGTAAAATCTCTGTTTAAATAAGTAGACTAAACTTGGTATCATATAACTCTCTAAAACATATTTGAAGAAAATAATTTTGTGTAAATACAATAAGATCTTTAAATGTGATTCAAACCCAATCTATTTCTTTCGCTGCAGCCAGGAGGACCAGGAGCGGGCACTGGAAGCTAAAGTCCCTGGCCGTGTATAAATAAGTAACCTGATCCCAGCAACACGCTGCCTGACAGCGGAGGCCCAAAAACGGCACACAGCTTCGGTTGGGATGGAATGGGTATGGGTTTGGGTATGGGCATGGGCATGGGGATGTGGTGCGATGGGATCACATCGGATGCGATCGGAACCCGTTTGGAGCTTCTGCAGCAGCCGCAGCAGCCACAGCAACCGCAGCGACTTGCGGCATTTTGATTTATAGACGATTTATGCACTTGGCTGCCGAGGTGGGAGTCAACGTTGTCGTCGACTTGACCGAATTCATGAGCGGGCAGCTGGCCGGGGTTTATTACACATATAACACATATCATAAGGTGAGCCTCTTTGGGGGCGGAATTTCATTTAGTTTTGGGATAGACTATTATGCGCTGGGCGCACTCACAATGTTCGCGGTTTTTTTGGAAAGCATTTGAATACGTGTGTGTTTAGCTAGTCCGAGTTAGTAAGGCAACACTGCGGATGCTACTCCTCATCTTATCATCTTATCACGGCCGCCGCTTATCTGGGTGAGTGTCAACAACAGCGACGAGGCCTCGTCTAGGCGCTGGCACTGGGAGCCCGGTTGGCGAAGAACCACATCAGGCCCATCAGACAGCTGGGCGGGCTGTTGTTCACGGCTCCCTTCTGGATCATGCGCTGGGCCTCCGGCAGGGACAGCTCAACCACCTCGATGATCTCGTCCTCGACACCGCCGCCAGTGGTGGCCTTGTCGGCATCGGTCACCTCGCAGTAGTACATGGTCTGTTTGGCACCCGAGGAGCCTACGCCAGATCTGAAAGAGACTCGCAGAGATTAGTGCTGGCGGAAGTATAGTGCTGGCGCAGAGATTATATGGAAATATTTAACTATTAACATTATATTTTACAAAAAATATTTTAAAAAGATAGAAAAGGTAAAGGATGAGTAACGCTCATACATATGGAAGAAACTTTTCTAATAGTGACTCATATTATTAGTTTAAGTTCTTCTTCTTCTACAGAAGTTACACGGAATATATCTAAATATGTTTACATTTTGCATTAACTTGAAAAATAACTACAGCACTTAAGCTGCGGCTTAGAGGTAAGCCAGGTGTTAACTGCCTTTTAAAAGATTTTCAAAATAATCTTTATCATTTTTCCAGCCGGATAAGAAGAGCCACACTCACCGGTAGACCATGACCTCCTCGATGCGCTCGACAGAAACATCGTAGCCGCATTCCTCCAAAACCTCCTCGCGGGCAATCTCCGCCCAGCTCTTCTCCTTATCGACAATGCCGGCGCACAGCTCCAGGGTGACCCCAATCGAGGGCGGATACTTGGTGAGGTCCACCTCGTTGAAGTTGCCCTCGGCGCTGGTGAGGATGCCATGGTAGACGGCTGGGCGGAACTGTCGGACCAGCACCAGCTTCTGGCGAGTGGTGTTGTACAGGATGATGGCCACGCTGTCGTGGACCTTGAGCAGATCCCAGTTCTTTTCCTTGCCATTCTGGACGTAGTACAGCCGGAAGGGCTTCACGTACGGGGAGTCCGCGGGCAGGGGCCCCAGCCAGATCTTGGACACGTTCTCCATGTTGCTCCGAATATTTATTACTCGACGGGCAGTGGCACTATCATGGGGCAACAGCTGACTGCGAAAGCTCCAGCCGGTGATGTGGGGCACAAGCAGATGGTTTACTCTTTGGGGGAGCTGAGCTTTTCTGACATTAAGGGCCAGGCCCCACATGGTAACACTCGTTATTTGATTTGAAAAATTCGTCAGTCATTTTAAAGAGTCCTTATTTCATTATATATTTTAGCTATATATATTATTTATTTATTTATATTCAAAAAATGTTAACACTTCCGGTCTTCTTGAAGGGTATTTTGATTTTATAAATCATATATATTTTTTATCAGCATCATCAGGCGAATTTCGGATTATTTTTAAATTTAGAATTAGGAATGCAGTTATTCTAAACTAATAAAAAATAACAGCCGTTTTCCGATTTAAAATTAATGAATTTTTGGCAGAGTTAAAAGTTCAATTAGAAGCCTTGTGAAGGAAGAACCACAGCAATCCCATCATACAGGAGGGTCCACCATTCGTCTTGGCCCCCGTTTGGACCAATTTTCTGGCCTCTTCCACGGGCAACTCTATCACCTGGATGACCTCGGTATCCACACCGCCACCGCTTGCCACCTTCTGCTCATCGCAGACCTCGCAGTAGAACAAGGTCATTGCTCCGCTGGAGGCTCCCACCCCAGATCTGTAATCGAAAACATGTTGCAAGGATTCCGTGGGCACCTGATAACCACATTCCTCCAGCACCTCCTCCTGGGCAATTTCCAACAAACTTTTATGCTTGTCCACGGCGCCGCCGCAAAGTTCCAAGGTGATTCCCATTTCCGGCGGAAACTGCTGCAGATCAGCCTCGCCCTCGGACATTACGACGTTTCTACCGCTACAGACTCCGTGGTAGACTGAACCCCGGAATTGACGCACAAAAATAAGCTTCTCTCGGGATTTGTTGAACAGTACCACCACAACACCGTCCACGATTTTTACAATGTCCGCCGTTTTCTTCACATCATCCTCGATGTAGGTGACGCGTCCCGGCTTGACCCACTTGGAGTCCTTGGGCAGGGGTCCAAACCAAATCCGTGATATGCAGCCAGGTGACTTTCCCGCGACCCAAGAGCACCAGGAGCGATGCAGTGCACCCAGAAGCTTGAACATTTTACAGCACTCGGAACGTTTTTTGAAATAAACGGCAAAGCCAAAAGTGATACCAGCCGCATTTAGTATTTTTCACCTAGTACATTTTGGCCGAGCCGCCACGGTCACACTGCCTGCATTTCCAAAGCAAAATTTCGGGACGGAAGTCGGTCCGTATACATTTTCACCTATTTTTCAGTTAGATAACAGTTTTTAAACCCAAATTACCCCACCTGTAGCCGGACAACGATACCTATAGCCCCACAGGACAGCGAACCACACGGCGAACATGCTGCGTTCCCGACTCGTACAGGCGGCGTGCTCCGCCCAGCGCGCCTTCTCCACCAGCCAGAAGGCCCTCGCCGCCAAGCAGATGACCGTGCGAGATGCCCTCAACAGCGCCCTGGACGACGAGCTGGCCCGCGACGACCGCGTCTTCCTGATCGGCGAGGAGGTGGCCCAGTACGACGGTGCCTACAAGGTGAGTTCACTGGCTTTTCTCCCCGTCCTCTGATTACGTAAACATCAGGCAGTAGTAGTGACAGGCGGCCGCCGCAGCGGTGACAGCTGATGCAGGTGGATGGAGAGGGGGCCGGGAGGTCGAGGGGTGGTATATGCGTGCTGTATGTAACTGCTGATAATGAGTACGAATCCGAATCTGGATGCGTGATCGGAATTGGCAAGGTCACGCAGAATGTGTGTGACTGTCGGCTGATAATAGATGATTGCTCCATAAAATAGCGATTTGTTTATAGACAGAACTGATTTGAAAACCTCCGGCAACCGGCTTTTTATATTTATTTATTAACTGAATGATTTTTTACTCTCAGGGGACACTGATATCCGCCTTGGATTTTTAATGATTTCTTGGATTTCCGAATGATATTAATTAGTTTCCCATTCCCATTGCAGGTCTCCCGTGGTCTGTGGAAAAAGTATGGTGACAAGCGCATCATCGACACGCCAATCACAGAGATGGGCTTCGCCGGAATCGCCACCGGAGCGGCCATGGCCGGTCTGCGTCCCGTCTGCGAGTTCATGACTTTCAACTTTGCCATGCAGGCTATTGACCACGTGAGTTGCAGCCTCCTCCCACTCCACCACCCTCCAGCAGTAGCCTAACTACTCATATTATCTCATTGCCAAAAAACGAGAATCCAATCCAAACGCCCCACAACTCCACTTAGCTAGCTAATAGGCCAATTCAAGTGCAAGGTCGGGCCGCGGCGCTTAATGGGATAATATGGGTGGCGCAGCACTCCTGCTCCTCCAGTCAAAGAACCGGACCTCACTAATCCCCCACCCATATTATCCGATTACGTGCAGGCAAAGATACTCGGTTGCGTTAGGCCGCCGATTGGGGACCGCCAGCTGCCCCTTAGCCGCATAATCGAGAGTCCTCGCTCCACCTGGATAGCCGAGATCAACGACATTCTGAACAGAGATCGAGTGGGCGGTGGCGAGGTGATTTCCCCGCCGAAGGACAAAAGCAAACCGGACAGAATGCAGGCGGAACGCCTCATCGTCATCCGACGCCGGAAGATGAAGAAGCACAAGCTGAAGAAGCTGCGCCGCAAGATGAAGTTCGAGTGGGCCAAAGTGCGCCAGCGTCGGGAGATGCGCAAGGAGAAGGCGTTCCAGGCCAAGCTAATGTCCCAAATCAAGCAGGCGGAGGCCTTCAGTGCGGAGCAGCACGTGGCCGAGATACTGCGGCAGGCGAACGAGACGCCACTGCCACGCTTCTGGAAGGGACGTCGCCTGCCCGCATTTATCATTAAGCAGAAACTAGGAATTAAGTGAAGGAGTCGAGAAGAGGAAGAATAAAATGCGACTGTATTAACTTGATCTTGAATTGGTGTATTAGCCAGGCATCGAAAAACTGATTGCTATTCCCTAATCCCCGATTGTTTCCCCTCAAACTAGATCATCAACTCGGCCGCCAAGACATTCTACATGTCCGCCGGCGCCGTCAACGTGCCCATTGTGTTCCGTGGTCCAAATGGCGCCGCCCAGGGAGTGGCCGCCCAGCACTCACAGTGCTTCGCTGCCTGGTACGCTCACTGCCCTGGCCTGAAGGTCGTCTCTCCCTACGACTCGGAGGACGCTCGTGGCCTGCTGAAAGCCGCCATCCGGGATCCCGATCCCGTTGTGGTCCTGGAAAACGAGCTCATGTACGGCACAGCGTTCCCCATTGGCGACAATGTGACCGACAAGGATTTCCTTGTGCCCATTGGCAAGGCGAAAATCATGCGACCGGGCAAGGACATCACCATTGTGGCGCATTCCAAGGCGGTGGAGACGTCGCTGCTGGCAGCCGCCGAGCTGGCCAAGAAGGGTAGGACTTGAAATTGCCTGCAATCGCAGTTCACCTTTATCCTCGTCATTGCAGGCATCGAGGCTGAGGTCATCAACCTGCGCTCCATTCGTCCGCTGGACGCGGCGACCATCTTCGCCTCGGTCCGAAAGACCCACCATCTGATCACCGTGGAGAACGGCTGGCCACAGCACGGTAGGTTGATTGCGCTTGAATTAGCCCCAAAAATGGGTAAACCTTAAGCCAATGCCTACATTTTAACTACTTGCAGGCGTGGGTGCCGAGATCTGTGCCCGCATCATGGAGGACCAGACCTTCTTCGAGCTAGACGCCCCCGTCTGGCGCTGCGCCGGCGTCGATGTGCCCATGCCCTATGCCAAGACACTGGAGGCTCACGCCCTGCCACGCGTCCAGGATCTCGTAGAAGCGGCGCTCAAGGTGCTGGGCGGTAAGGCGGGCAAGGCCGTTGCCGGCGCCAAGTAGGGCCACGCAGGATCGATCACTAACCCCCCAAGCTAACTAAATTTAATGTCCTCATCGAGAAACGCTGCCTCTGGTCCAACCGAGCACTGTTCCCGCACACAAATTAGCAAGCACCGAACTGGAAAACGAAAAAGGGAAAACCAATCGTATTGAATAGTTGAATTATTTGGTCATAGAAATCTCTTCTGAAAATAAACGAAAACATTTAAATGTCATAAAAAGAAAAGGTTTTTTATTTTCTGTTTATTGTGAATTCAAGTTCTACATTTTAATTGCAGCTTACTCCAGGAATTGCTAAAGAAAATCTTTCTGAGAAAGCTATTGATCTTGTTCTTGGAAACTTTAAAGAAAAACAAAACAATTATCTTCTTAATCTTCTTAATGCATTTACTAAGAATTAACCTTAGTTTTAAGCTCCGTTTCCCTTGGACGCAAAGCTTACTGAAATTACTGATAATAAACAATTATTACGGGGAAATAAAGCATTCATGTTTAATCTTCTGAGAAAGGGGAGCAAAATATATATATTATTTTCCTTTCAAATTCAAAGAAATATTTACAGTTTGTTTCCATCAATTATTAGTAAATATTACTATATCTTCAGAAATTTGTTTAATATTTTTATTAATTTTTTTCTGCTAACCTTTAACAGGATAGGAAACCGGGAAATCCTTGCGCTTTGAAAATACATCTCGAAGGCCTAATCATAAGAAAGCAAAAATAAATAATAATAAAAAGAAAAAACATATAAAAATTAAGGTAAGTGGGAGGAGGTGCGATCCCACGCCCTATCAATCAGTCACATAATTTTTATACTATTGCAGGGCATTATAATTTCAATCAAAAGCGCAGTGAAGGAGATATTTCCGACCGCATAAATCATATATATTTTCGATCAGCATTAATATTCGAGTCTTTCTTCTTAACATTTCAAATGCTGGATAAATATTAACATTTTAATATCCCTTTAACGGTATTATAACTTCAGTCTGAAGCTACATAGTAACGCAATGAAATAATAATTATAATAATTAAAAATAAAACTAAAAATATATATTCAAATAATTTTTAATTGCAAGAGTATGCAAACTTCGGTGTGCCGAAGTTAGCTCCCTTTCTTGTTAAATGTGAATTTTTGTTTAAATTTATATTTAGAAATTTAATAAAAACTAACCCTGTTTCTGGCTTAACTTACAAATTAAAAAATTAAACTACTATTACTACTACCACTACCTCGAAATAAAATGCTTAAAAGTAATAATTTTCTAAAGTGTTTTTATAATTATTATTTTTATTATTAATTTAACAGTAATGTTGGGGAAGAACCATTCACTTGTTTTTTAACACCCAAAATAACCCTATTTGTAGTCCCTCATGCCCGATTCATTGAAATACATTTAAATACATTTTAAAATATTTATTTTTTCTATAAAATACAATTCAATTAATTGTAAAATATTTATGTTAATTTATGTATGTTAAACGGCAAAAGTTCCTTCTCCTTTGAGTTTATATGCGGTGTTTATTTAAGCAAATCGGTCACGCTCGCCAGCGGACGTGTTGTTAATCTGCAAGCAATTAAAAACAATTTTTTTTTAGACATAGTACCGATTATTACCTTTGATATTAGCAATATTACCTGATCAACATTACAACAGACTTCATTATCGCCGCACTCTACCATACGGGATTGTACTCTTCTCTCGGCCATGCAGTATTGTCGAGCCACACACTGACTTTGCCCATCATCGCCGCAAAAGCGAATGGAATGTGCTCGTCCCATGCCCAGGAAGGCAGACAGGACGATCAGGACAGCGAAAATCCAGCTTGGTGACATTGTGCAAAGTGGAATCAAAATTGAGACTGAATCGAAGAGCGGCTGGGAGTGGTATTTATACCCAGCCTTATCAGCCGTATGTCATTATTACAGCTTTTCCCAGGAATGGGATCTTGTTCTGGGAAAGCTTAAAGAAAGAAAAGCACTTATGAGATGACTTCTTAATGCATTTACTAAGAATTTACCTTGTTTTAAGCTCCGATTCGTTTAGACGTACAGCCTAGTGAAATAACTAATAAAAACAATTGCATATTACGGGGAAATGGAACTTTAATTTTTAATCTTCGAAGAAATCTTTATAGTTTTTTTTTTTTTTCATTAGTTAATATTAAATATCATTAATTCTTCAAAATTTCTTTGATCTCCTTATTATATTTTTTTCTGCTAAACTGTAAAAGGCAA